CGTTGAGCCCCTACCGGGCCCGCACGGTGGCCGAGGAGCGCGAGTGACCTGCAGGCCCCGGGCCGGAGAGGGCAGCAGTGTCCTGGGGTCGTGCGCTCAGAGCGCCGTGGGGCACAACTTGAGAGGAGACTGTAGTCCAGAGTGGGCTGCGCTGGCGGTTTCGTTTCCGGGTGTGATGGCCCTGCGTTTGAGAGCGAACTCAGACGTTGCCTTAATGATGAATGTGAACGTTGTCAAGCTGTGCCCTTGATTGTGGAGTGTGATAAGACATTCTTTTTAATCGGGAGTCAGTTATCTGTCAGGCCCCTGATATGAAGGAGAAAAGGGGGAACAAGTCGTGGATGGTCTTACACAATTTCTTCGTTTAAAGACTTATCTCCAGTAGGATGGGTAAGGAGTTTACAATTTGGGAAAAAGAAATGTTTAACATTGTCACTTGGGTCTAGAGCCAGGTGTCAGGGTCATCTACTTAGCCAGTTTCCCTCTGGAGGTTGGAAGAAAAAAAAAAAAAAAAAAAAAAAGAATGCCGTCTTTCCACCATTGAGGTCTAGACGTTGTAGTAAATCAATAATCGGGTAAAGTCAAGATTGTCATTTATTAACCATGCCTATATTACTCGGGCTGTAAATTCATGCATGAATTTCACTCGGCTAGTGATTTCATTGTCCTTCTCATTCCTTGAATTTATGCAAGACCTTTGAGCTAAGCGAGAGCACTTCTGCATGTCATTTATTGTCCTGAGAAACAGGTCCAGGTATTAAAGATGCTAACTTATTTGTGCAGGCCCTGAACCAATTTAAAGTAAATGTAAAATTATTGTATTAGGTTAATAACTTTCTTAAAGTTTGTGAACATGTCGGACTTTGTGTCCCAGAACCAACAGTTACCCACCAACAAGATGCCCATTCCACATTTGAAAATGCTTATCAAAGGAGAATAATGCATGGCTTGGTTCGTCTCTTAAACCTACCCCTCGGGAGGCAGAGGCAGGTGGATCTCTGTGAGTTCGAGGCCAGCCTGGTCTACATAGCTAGTAGTTCCAGGACAGCTAGGACTGCTACACAGAGAAACCCTATCTCAAAAAAAGAGAAAAGAACGAAAAAAATTTGGGATTCATAACTTTCCTTGTGAAAATGGGGTTGATTTGTTTCCTTAGAGCTAGTGAGAAAATAGGTGCAGTTGATTTAAACACAGGCCTTGTTTTGTATATTTTGAACAAAAGTATACTTTGGAAAAAGCAAGTCACTGGCTTTTATTTTTCATAATCTTTTACGTCATGTAGTAATTTTATGCTGTTAATGATTATTTACTTTTAGTCACTGCTCTTGATTTCCATTTCAGCTTTTTCATACAGCCTTAAAGCTTCTGTTGTTTTAAAAAATCTTTTCTGAATTTTCAATTCCTAAATGAAATTTTCTGTTTACTTTTAGGACATGAATTATCTCCCTCTGACTACCATTTCAGTGCTGTAAGTGTAAAGCCAGAAAGTTCAGCCTTCAAGTTGATAACTATTTACACTTTAACCCTTGGTGAGTGCTAAGATCTCATACTAGAGTGCTCACAGTTACAGTAGAAGGAGATACCGATGTCAGGATGGTCTGTGATTGAATTCAGGGTGAGTTTTGTGGATTGAGGAAGGGAGCACAGTTACCCTGAGACCCTACAGTTGTAATTCAAAGGGTGCATAGTCTATTTGTTGGTTGAATTAGTAAATGGAAATTAGTGTGAGGAAAACATAGGTATTTGGTTGCAAATAACTAGATTTTTTTTTTAGCTCCTTTCAATCAAAGGGAATGATTTTTAAAAAGGCCAATACTGTGTGTTTCAGATTTCTGTCAGAAATGTGCTGTTAAGGCAGGTGTCTGCAAAGGGTACTGTTTATTGGTGTTGTCTTGAGATTCAGTCCTGTGACTATATGGTGTTCCAGCCCTCTGCAGCCTGTCCAAACTCTGGTCACGAGGAGCTGCATACACCTTCTGCAGCCTATACTGGCTGAGCGGTTGGATGGATAGCCAGTGTTTTTACCTTAATAGAAGAACTTGGGATTCTTGGTAAAACCATACAAGCAGCATCAGTACTGGCTGTCCTCATGCTCCTTAGGTTGGATATGGGAAAGGAAGGCTCTTTCTCCCTTAAGTACTTCTCCATCATCTGCACATCTCTCTCTCGTTTCCTTCTTTGAGCCTGTGTGTGACTAATGAGTTCAATAACGTGGGCCTGGGTTGCAGAACAGAAGCCCTTGCTTTGCTACAGAAATTCCTATTTGACTAACTTATAATGTCAACATGACAGGGAGAGCTGCCTACTAGAGATCCTCTGCTTCGTGGGCTTGATTACAGAAATTAATAAACTATTCTCTAAATAATGAAAAGATTTCCTGATACGATTTTTTTCTTGCCGAAAACAAAAGAAATGCCTGCCTCTAGACCTAAAGAATCTTGGGGATGCAGAGCTGAATGTCAGGTGTGGTGCAGATTGAGACAGGGAGCTTTGGTATGTTTGAGGTCAGGATTTTGTAGGAAGGTGGTGGCCACTTTAGAGGAGACTGTTTAAAAGGAGGCCAAGGGGTGTGAAGTTATGAATGCATGAGAAGGAAGGAGCTAAGTGCAGAATAAGGAAGTCTGTTAGTCCATGTCTCAGATGTTGACTCTGCTGTGTGCGTACCTTTGCCTCGTTTATCTAATGCCAGGGCATAATGCATTAAGTGCATATTCTTATTTTAGGCATACTTTTGTGAGAAAAGTCTTACAATATGTTGTAGGCTTGGTTTCTTTTTAAATAGTGTAGTCTAATCCTTCTTGTCTCAAGTTTAGGATTGCTAGCATCCATTACTGACAGTAATTAAACAAGGCTTTGAGGTGATTGTGAAATGTAGGCTGTTTGTGCTGTTTACCCTTGCTTTTTTACTTACTGGATCTGCCTGTCTTCTATCTGGGTAGGAAAGCTGTGCAGCTTCTGGCCTTCTGTGGAGCAGAACCTAGGTCACTCTTCTTCCTGAGATCACATTTAAGATAGTTAAATAATAGTCTTGTTACATTCTATAGACTCTTGGAGAATTATCGACTGAACTTTGTAACCACTGTGTGGTTTCCCAAAGACCTTATTAATTCTTCTCTTGTTCTTTTCCCCTGGCTTTCATCCTGCATATATGCATTTTATATTGTGTGTTCTTCCTGGAGACAAAATAGGACTGGAGAGAAGATTCGATGAATAAGGTTCTTACCATGAAAACATGAGGACTTGAGTTTGGATCTGAATAAAAACTAAGAGCACATGGTAGCTTTTAATCCCAGCACTCAGAGGCTGAGACAGGATCCCCTGGGTAAACTGACTAATTAGACTAGCTCAATCAGCGAGGGACTCCACCTCAGTAAATAAAGTAGAGAATGTGTATACATATACATGTGAATACCACACACATATGCATAAAAAGAAAATAACTTGGAAGTCCTAAGTTGGATCTTGTTTCAGAAAACCATTGTCCCCAGAAGATGGTGGTGCATGCCTTTAATCCCAGCACTCAGGGAGGCAGAGGCAGGCAGATCTCTGTGAGTTCGAGGTCAACCTGGTCTACAAATGAGTTGCAAGGCAGCCAGAGCTGCCTTGCAAAAAGCAAACAAAAGAGAAGAAAACCATCTATATCATCCATATATCACTCATGGGCAATGTCTTCTTGAACTTTCTCCATTCTTTTAACATCTCCAGATTGTCCTTACTCCCAATTCCAGCCAACATCAGGAACTGAGTTAGCAGTCACAATAGTTTAGAATGTCCTAACATAGCCTTCAGTGGTGGTTATGGAATTGAGTAGTGAAACACCTAGAATGTAGGAAGCCTCGTTACACTTCGTACCTTCAAAGCACTGTCCACTGAGTGTCTGGGTCTCTGTTTTCTGCACCAGGTCTTGCTAAAGGTATAGTCCCCCCCCCCCACCTCTCTCTCTCAGCACTGGGGAGGCAGAGGCAGGCAGATCTCTGTGATTTCAACGCCACCCTGGTCTCCAGAGCCAGTGCCAGGATAGGCTCCAAAGCTACACAGAGAAACCCTGTCTCGAAAAACAAAAAAAAAGAAGTTTTCCTGAATTAAAGTTTGAATGAGATGGGTTGCACTTTTTTTTTTTTTTAATTTATTTTTTCTGAGAGAGTAGTTTTTTGTTGCCCTTTTCATTTTAGTCTCACACCTGGGGGCAAGTTTCCTAATGCTTCATTAAAGCCTGGTGATCATTTTTAACTGATGTCCTTCACAAGGAACTATTAAAAGATTTCACATGGAAGAGTCTTATTTTTCAGATATTGTATAGATCTTTAAATGGAAATAAAAATTTTAAGGAAAATCTCACAGTTCAATTTGGACTATGTGGGAATTGGATTTTATTTTAATATCTGTGCTTTAAGTTGCTCTCAAGTTTTAAGAGCCTTAAGCCTTAAACAGTTTTAAAGACAAAGTCATCATCTTTAAACACAGAGTGAATTTTCTGAATGAAAGGCATGCTGTATTTTTGATTTTTGTGTGAAATGGAATTTAGGTCATGCTTCCCACCTGTTTTAGTTACATTGCTCATGGTGGAATTGTATTTGTTGCTAAGGGGCAAAGGATGTAAAATCCTAATAGCTAATTATAAGGATGATGTGACTTTCTGCTGTAATGGAATGTCAGTTAAAAATCAAAAGGGTCAGTACATCACAGTGAAAGTATATTGAGCCCTCTATTTTAAAGGGTTTAGAGTTTTGCTGTTGTTTATGCTTTGGCTGAAGTACAAAGGCATCATAAGGTGAGCACCTGTAGTATGAGTATGTGATATTAACCTTAGTTGTACTGCATAATTATAAGTAAGATTGTGAAGTCTGCAAGTAGATTTTAGTAAATGATTCATGTTAGGGTTGGATATAAAATGACTCTCCCAAACTTGTGTATTAAAGCATGGCCCCAGTGCATTGTTCAGAGGTGAGGATGTTGGGAACTGACTGGATTACGAATGAGAGTGCTAATTTCATCAACCCATTGATGAGTTCATAGATGAGTGACTTTTAGTAGCCTAGCTGGAAGTAGATCAGTGGGGATGCCTTTAAAGAGTGTAACATTATTGCTAGACCTTTTTTTTTTTTCCTCTGCTTCCTGGCCACCATGTGGCGAGCGAGCATCTTTGCTCTGCCACATGCTTCCTGTAATGTTCTCCCTCATCTTGGGCACAGAATCAGTGGAGCTGGATACTGATAGACCAAAACCTCTAACCCATAAGTCCAAATAAATGCTTCCTCCTTTAATCTAATTTGTTAAGTATTTTATCACAGCAATGAAAATTAACATAGTCAAGTTGAAAATCTACTTTTTGTGTTACTTCTAAGAGACTATCTTCTTAAACATCTACAATACATGGTAGAAAAGAAATAACAAACACATAACTTTTACAATAACTTGCTCCATAAAAGGTATTAGTAATCATTTATAAGAATAAACTGGTCTAACCATTTATCAATCTGTTCTTTATTTATGGTTAATGATTAATTTAGTGTCAACACTCCTACCTCCCAAATTGTTTTTAGCTGTATACCTTGTTTTCCTGTCCCCCAGCTCCACCTCCGGAATTTAAGGTCACTAAAAGAGTTGATGAAAGACATGATAGAGAAAGAACTGCTTCAGAATACAGTTGCATAAGTCAGTGATATGTTTTTTCTTATAATTGTATAGGTCATGTGTTGTCAGCCAATTGGTTACTGTCCACCTGGTATGGTCTAGAGTCTCATGTATGGCTCTGTGCATCTCAGAATTCATCTGAGACTGGAATGCCTTTGATCACTTTACTTACCTTTTTGGTGTTTCAGCTGAGATGGCCAGACTAGCAGGGTGCCTCTTATCTATTTAGGTCATGAAGCCTCTATCTATACATATCACTCATGAGGCAGTCTAACCAAACTGTCTCTACATAGTAGCTAGATCCAAAAAGTGAATGTGGAAACTGCCAGGTGACTTAATGCCTAGGTTCAAAAAGTGGGACACAGCCACTTGTATAGTCTTTTGATCAAAGCAAACTGCAAAGCCAGCTCAAATCAGGAGGAGGAAAAATAGACCCCACCCTTTGGTGGGAGGAACTTTTGATGTTTAACTGTGGAAATAGCAAGTTAATCTTAATCAAATTAAAATCTTGGCTATCTCATTACATAGCCTCTACAGGCAAAGGCACTTGCCACCAAGCACTTGAACCCGTGAGTTCAATCCTCAGAACCCACAAGGAGGTCCTTTGTGTCTTGGGTGTGTTTGCCCATACAGTCAAAATAAATATACAAATGTAAAAACTTCACATTGAGATCTTATTCTTTTCTTACACTTACCAAATCTTCAGTTTTGCTGAAACCAGCTCTTTCCAAAGAGATTGTTTGAGAAAAGGGACCTTATAGTTTGTAGGCAGGATGGGAGACAAGGCGAGAGCATGCATAAATGTGATCACATACTAGCTATTTAATGAAGTCTCCTTACGTTACAATTTCCCTAGTCCTCTGCACAAAACGTTTGTTACTGAATATTATTTATTTTGTGGTACTTTACAGTCACAAGGCTCTCCTTTATGTGGTAAAAGCCTATTTTGACTGGAGATTCTAGCGAGAGAGAGAGAGAGAGAGAGAGAGAGAGAGAGAAAAGAAAGAAAGAAAGAAAGAAAGAAAGAAAGAAAGAAAGAAACTTCTGTTCACTTTTACCGAAACTTTCACTTTTCATCGCTGTGAATAAAAGTTGGGATTAGTGTGAAGTCAAATCAGAGACCCATTCAAAGGAGGGTGAGGCTGCTAATGAGGCTCAGAGCCTCCCCAGAGCTGTGACTTAGAGGACACCTCCCACACCCCAGTAAGTATTGGGCTAGGTGTGCTCATGTTCCTTAGTTACCACATATGTGAATTTTAATTGCATGGTTTATAGACCTCTGCATCAAGAGGTTTTTCCTGTTACCTTCCTTGCAGCACCACTGGATTCTTGAACAGATGATATCACATTTGTTGTTTCCCTCTGAATCTATAAAGCTCTTGTAGAAGCACTTTACAGTTGAAGGTTTGTCCTTCCAAACATGTATCACACACACAGGGTGGTGGTATGTGTGTGAAGAATGACAGTGAATGAGCTTGTGTGGCAAGCCCCACATGGGCTGCTGGGAGTGAAACAGGCTTCCTAGGAAAACTGCTTATAAAGATCTACTTCCCAGACTGCGCACTGTGGGTTCACGCTAGCTTTTAGTGTGGATGCTATTTGCAAATGTTCCACTTGCACTGCCTCTTTTATATTTAACACTTTCTGAGTTACGATATTACCTTGAGTCTACTTGCTCTTTGAAGTAGGCTCTGTTCCATATAACAAACATGAAAACAAATGAGCACAGTGTAACTGGACAGTGTTGTACTGTGTGAGCATTTTACAGCAGGAGGTGAGGACATGAAATAGAGCAGGCATACAGTGGTGCTTTGGGAATGCTAGGGAGGTTTTCATGGGTAGTTTGGAATATACCCAGTGCCCCTGCTTTTATTTTCTTATGTCTAAAGTGGATGATCTAAAAAAAAAATCCAGCTTGCAAAGTATATAGTATACTGCTTGGCTCAAATCAAAAAGGATAATAATAATAACCATTTAAAAAGCCTGGAAGCTGGGTCTTGGGGATCCTTTCTCAAGTGTAAAGGAGCAAGGGGGATCATCCTAAGGAGCCGTACTTCTGGGCAGGTAAATAGGAGCTGTGTACAAGGCCATTTAAGGCAGAATGTAGTTATGCACTGGTCAGAATGAGGGAAGTGTCAACATAGAGGGTGGGGAGGGACTAGGACACCCTTGAAGATGGGCCTTGATAGCCAGACGTTGGTGGTGCATGCCTTTGAGAGGCAGGCGGATCTCTGTGAGTGCGATGCCAGCCTGGTCTACAGAGTGAGTTCCAGGACAGGCTCCAAAGCAATACAGAGAAACCCTGTCTCGAGAAACCACACACACACACACACACACACACACACACACACACACGCGCGCCTTAAGAGAAAGTAATGGCTTTAAATAAGAGGTAAGGAGAAAGGAGGTATTTTAAGGACATTGAGGGTGAGGAATGGTGGAAACAAGGGCAACTATACATTAAGGAGAGAAGTAGCATCACTAAGTTAGTACATTGGTGGAAGCCGAGGTGGGCAGTGTGAGAGGTCTGCCTCACCTAATACCACTTGGAGTAAAACTTTAATGCGCTATTCAGGGATTTTTAGAATTCAGGGTGGTCAAGGGACTAATTAGGCTCTATTGAAGCCTGCAGGTCCAGAAATGTGTTCTTTCCAGGGTCCAGTAGGAGGTGCTGAGCACTGCAGAGAACTGGCTGGGGTTGGGGAAGTGGAAGACAGTGGACACAGCCTGTGATCCCACCACTCACCACACTGAGATGGCTGTGGGCTCAAGGCCCCCATGAACTACATAGTGTGGCCCTATCTCAGTTTCTTTCCTCCTTTCAAGAAAAGGAGAATCGTGATATACTTACTGCATGCAGTCTTATTTTACCTGAAGGTCTCAACTCATCAATCATAAACATGAAAACTCACTTCTCCTTTTTTCCACATCTGCTCTTACTATAATTCTTCAAAGATGAATAGTGATAATGTAACAGTTGAATTCAATTCCTGCAATATGAATTTCTGTTCTACCAGAGTAGGTGAATTATAGGCAGCCCTGAAATAATGAGTATGTTTTTCTGAGGCCTTTTCAAAAGGTGATGGTATTTCATAACTTACAAAAAGCTTACAAACTGAGTTTCAGATTTGAACCTTTTTGTCTTAATGTTGGGACTTCTAAAACTTGCTATCGTATTGGTGATTAGACAGACAGATATGACCGGCGTGAATAGCTCAGTGTTAGAGCACTTGGTTAGTATTCACAAGGCCCTGGGTATCATTCCCAGCACAACGAACAAAACAGCCCAAGTCTGATGGAATGGTACATATCTACACTCCCCGGAAGAGGGAAGAGGGAACAGGAAGATTGCTTCAGAATCCACCCAGCCAAAACAAATTTGGAGGTGCTATTTTTTATAATATGAGGGAAGTTTATTCTTTATTCTGCATAAAATATGTACAACCATTAAATTATGTATTATGAAAGTCTAGTCAATCAAACTTTAGTCCCAAAGTGCATTTTATAGAAAGGAAGAGCCTGTCTTGCTGCCCCCTTTAGCCAGAAGTGTAGAGTGTTTATCTGTGACTATTTGGGCATAGAGGTGCAAAAGATGCTGCTGTATTTCTGTTTCCTTTATCACTGCACCCTGCAGTGTGTTCTGTTGAACAAACGAATGAAACAGCAGTATCATTGGTGCTGATATTGAAATCCACTCTCCTAATACTGCTGTTGTGCATAATTACCAGGAACTGCTTTTACTGAGCTCCATGCCAAATCTGATAACCATCACAATTACATTGTAGCATAATGAAACCTATTACTTTGTGTACTAACTTAAAAAAAAACTAAATAAAAACAATTACATTTTTAGTTGTACTTACACAGCTTTTGTTCTAGCTTAACAGTGTGATGAGAAATGGTGATGAAGCAGAACAGGTGGCTGGGGGTAATTAGGATTTGAATTTAACTTTCACTTTCTGCTTCCTTCATGAAAAGAACAGGAAGGAATGGTTGAGAATGAATGTCACATCAGTTGGCTCAAGGCAAGGCATTGCTCAGAATTTTGCTCTTGGGTTGTTTCCAGTTGTTAAAGAAGCAGCCTCAAATTTAGGTGGGCGTGTCTCAGCTCAGTTCTTTGCTCTGTTTTTTTGTATTGGTCTTATTTCTTAGATTAATGGTTTGAGTTGTTGAATGAATTGTAGAATGAAGCAACACCCTATTATCTTCTTGTCATTTATTTTGTCCCAGTGCTGTACAGTACAGGCTGTAGGCATATAGCAGAGTAAGCTTGTGCACATTTTAAAATGGCCTTGTGGAGCTGGGCATTGTAGCCCATGTCTGTAACCACAGCACTTGGGAGCTATTAGCAGGAAGACCATGAGTTCAGCCTTGAATTACCTGAGACCTGGTCTCAAAAAACAACAAACAAACAAAGCCCAGGGGAGTGGAGAGCAACCTCTCAGCATACAAATAAAACTGAACCGTATGTTTTGACACCCTCTGCTTTTAGAATTGCCCAGAGTGTGGCGAGCTCATACTGGAAGCAGCACTTTGCACTCATTAAGGTCCATGGCATTAGTACTCTTGCTGTGTGTCCCCACAATTCAAGACATAGCAGTGTTGCTATGGTTTAGATTTCATGAGCTGTCTGATCATATTCTATTAACAACCAGATGGTATAGGGGAATGTTTTTCCTTTACTTCATCCAGATTTGATTATCTGTATTCATCCCTATTCTACCAGGAAAAATAATTAGTGGAGGTCTGATTAAGGAGAGTATGTGTCTGGGTGTCATGCTTAATTGCATGAACAACAGCTATGGCCTGTCTGATTGCTGGGCATTTGTATTTGAAAAGGAGTTATGCCTCTCAACTGGACTCTTGTTATTCTTGGGAGTTCCTATTGTTCAAGGCATCAGAAAACTGTGGAAAGGAGCTGGCAAATTATCACACATGGCAAGGATTTACTTGTGGATTTTGAACAGTGTTTTGCTTCCTTGTTTTCACCTCTCATTTTGATATTTTTGGAAATACGTAGAGCAGCCAAATGACTCCTAGATGATCCCACTTCCTAATTAAAATGGGAGCGTGTTTCTTAGAATTTTTCATGTATCCAGTTCTTCCTTCTTAGGTCTTTCCCATCCTGTTTTTAGTTAATGACCTTTTCAAGCTGAGCATTAGTAGTCAATCACTAAAAGGATATGTAACATATTAGAGGCTTGCAAAGGACAGAATTGGAGACAGAAGGACAGAATTCCTGATCAAATCCTGCTTTCTGCTTTGGCCTGCAGGAGTTGTGGAGGCACTGCAGTGAAGAACTATGTAATCATGGAATCGCCTTGCTAATCATCACCACCTGTTCTCCTTGATAAGCCAGCAAGAAAGTGGGTCGAGGAGGAGGAAAAGAGGCCAACATGAAGCTAAAGCAGCGAGTTGTGCTGTTAGCAATACTCCTAGTCATCTTTATCTTCACCAAAGTTTTCCTGATAGACAACTTAGATACATCAGCTGCCAACCGAGAGGACCAGAGGGCTTTTCACCGAATGATGAGTGGCTTGCGGGTGGAGCTGGTGCCTAAATTGGACCACACCCTGCAATCTCCTTGGGAGATTGCAGCCCAGTGGGTGGTGCCCCGGGAAGTGTACCCTGAAGAGACACCAGAGCTGGGAGCAATCATGCATGCCATGGCCACTAAGAAAATCATTAAAGCTGATGTGGGCTATAAAGGGACACAACTAAAAGCTTTACTGATACTTGAAGGAGGACAGAAAGTTGTCTTCAAACCTAAGCGGTGAGTCTTCATCTTAGATGGTCTATGTGCTGGTTATTGTTCATTAACTTGGGGTTTATATAAGAGTGTTGTCCTTGCTGTTCCCTTCAGTAAAATGACAGCTAGACTGCAACATCTCCAAAGTCTTTCTAGTTCTGAAGGTTCAGCAATTCTTTGAGTGGAAGAAGTCTATGGGAACCTGTTTTGGTTCCTTTAAGCCTTTTAAAAAGCCAGCTATGGTGGTTCAGTCCTGTAATCTGCACTCAGGAGGGTGAGGCAGAAGGATTGTTACAAAGAGCAGCCTGGGCTATATATAGTGAGGTACAAACAAACAACTGAAGTTTTGAACAGAACTAACCTTGATTTCTCTGTGCTGTGTTTGTTGGGTCGTTTGTTTGTTTTGAGAGATACTCTTCACTATGTAACTCAGGCTGGCCTCAACTTGGTGATCCTCCTGCACCATGCAGGCCTGAGCCTCCACCTGGCTGTTGATTTCTAGTGTACTTCAGTGTGGCAAGTATTAGAGATACAAAATGTATCAAGTAGAAAATAAACAATCTGTTGGCCCCACCCCTTCCCCACATAGTATAGCTAAAAGTTGGATATTCGAAGATCAGGAACTGTAGAGTTAGCATGGACTTCTGGGAGTGGGGGAGTCCTGTCAGTCCTGAGGCATTGACTCCTTCATCTAGGGCTTTCCTTTGTGTCATGTTTTTGTTTTGTGAGCAGTTTCAGGTTCGTGGAGGATTTTCAGAAAAATACAGACAAGTCCTATTAGCTACCTTCCAGTTTTCTCCTGTTACTAATGTTGTTCATTAATCCAATTGATGAGCCAATAATAGTATGCTAATTAAAGTCCATTGTTTGGCTGGGCATAACAGCACCCACCTTTGATCCCAGCACTTGAGAGTTGGAGGCAGGTGGTTCTCAGAGTTCAAAGCCAGCTGGTCCATAATGAATTTTAGGATAGCCAGAACTACATAGTGAAACCCTGTTTTGAAAACAAAAACCAAATGAAAAAGGAAAAAAGTCCATAGTTTATATTAGAGTTTACTCTTTAGGGGTATACTCTGTGGATATAGGCAAATGTCCATCACTGTAATATAGTGTGGTTCTCAGCCCTAAAAGTCCTCTGGGCTCCACCATTCCCTCACTGTCCTTGGACCGCTGACATCCACTGACCATCTATTGTTTTCATGGTTTTCTGTGAATGAAACAGAACACGATGATTCACACTCTTTTGCCAGAAGTGAATCAGCAGCAAACATTTCCAGGGTCTGGCACTGAGCATTCTTTCAGCTCTTGGTGACACTTTTGAGAGACTTGTACCTTTACATTTCTTGCTAGAGTGCAGGGAGTAATATGGGGGAAAATGTATAAAAATGCCATTTCCATATTATGAATTTACTAACAGATTAAAAGCACCTGGGGTATGGATCTATTTAGAATCCCAGAAGTGAAAGGGGTCATTATTTGTCTGGACCTAGCAAGTATTGGGCAAGTTAAAAAATGCAGTAAGGCCAGGCGTTGTTGGCACACGCCTTTAATCCCAGCACTTGGGAGGCAGAGGCAGGTGGATCTCTGTGAGTTCGAGGCCAGCCTGGTCTCCAGAGCGAGTGCCAGGATAGGCTCCAAAGCTATCCAGAGAAACCCTGTCTCGAAACACCAAAAAAAAAAAAAAAAATGCAGATGTGGTGGTGCATGCCTTTAATTCCAGCACTCAGGAGGCAGAGGCAGGAGAATCTCTGTGGATTTGAGGCCACCTGGTCTACATAGTAATTTCCAGGACAGCCAAACTGTATAGAGAGACCCTGTCTCAAAACAAAACAAAACAAAACAAACAAACAAACAAACAAACTGCAGTAGAGCTGTTGTGATTGTGCAAACCTGTTATCCCGGCACTTGGGAGGTAAGCCTCAAGATCTAATTGCTGTTGATTGTCGCCATTTACTGGGCATTACACCAAATAGTTTTAATACCCAAGTCAGTTCAGTTTCTGTTTCCACAATAAGAAACTGATTTGACAAAGTTGCTTCATAGTAATTTAGCAGAGCTGGAGTTTGACCCTAGATCCATCAGAACTTTAAACAGCTTTTATTCTACCATACAGTTTCTTTGTTTGCTTGATGTAGAGCACCTATCATGAAAATAAAAAGTATTTAATTTAGGATCTTTTTTGGTGTGCATGTGTATGTATAGACACATGTGTGTGCACATGTACATATGCCATGGTGTGTTTGGAAGTCAGAGGATAACTTGTGGAAATCAGTTGTCTCCTTCCACCATGTGGGTCCCAGGAATGGAACTCATGTCATTGAGCTTGGAGGCAGGTGCTATCACCTGCTGAGCAGTCTCATTAGTCCACTAATTCAGTTTTGAAGCGTAGTTCTCGATCTCTTCTTGGTTTGTATCTTAAGGAATTAATAGCAGAGTTATTGGGATATGGGGATGAAAATTTTTATGAAAAAAATTATGACTACTGTATGTTTAAGTAATCCACACTCACTTTTTGTATACTCGAGAATGAAGGATGCTATGGGATTAAGTGTGTTGAAAAAACAGATATTCCTGGTAGTTGTCGATCATGGGTTTTACAGATATGCCCGAGGTGTTGAAGGAAGGTACAGTGGAGGCAGAAAAACCAGACTGATAAGTAGGAGAGGTGGCAGGAAGTGCTAGCATAATCCCTAGTCTCTCCTATTTCACCTCTGTCTGTGTCAGTGCTCCGAACCATCGTACTACCTTCCTCTTCCACATCCCAAATGCATTCCAGGCTCCTTCCCTCCCCTCTTACACAGGGTCTCAGGCCTGTAGATCAGGATGGCCTTAAACTCAGACATCCACCTGCCACTGCCTCCTGAGTGCTGGGATTAAAGGTGTGCACCACTATGCCTGGTTCCCTCATATTATCTCTGTGCTTCCCAGCTTTAAAACACGCAGGGTCTTCCCAATGTGCTCCAGACAACCCATCCTCTACAGCCTAACAACAAAGGACCCCAGGGTCTGGCCTTCCAGTCCATACCTCATTTTTACTCCAACTCCACCAGCATGGTGTATGACTCAGGTGGAGGCGTTGCTTCCTTCACTCACTGCGAGACTGGATGTGGGTTGAGGTACTTACAGAAACTCATTCCAGACCTTGAACCCTCGGCAAAGTACTATTCTGACCTCTGGGGTCTCAGAAGCTACACATAACTCTGCTGTAAGCATACAAGATGCCCTTGCTCAGACCCTGATGGCCTTCACTAGAAGGACAGACAGGAGTGATTTTATTGGCAGTTACTGTGTGAATTCTGCTCCTCTGCCAGTGACTTAAGATGGGTCATTCCCTGTTGAGGAGAATCTAAGTCAGTTGAGACATACAGCTTTCTTTAATAGCCTCTGTGTCTTAGCTTTATGGAGGCTGGTTTATGACCTCCTTTCAGAGGTCGGAGTTATGTGTAGATGAAGGACATATATAGGGATACAGTGTAATATTATTATTTATGTCTTTTACTACATTATAAAAGTGATTTTTCCACCAGGCGATGGTGGTGCAGGCCTTTAATCCCAGCACTCAGGAGGCAGAGACTGGCAGATCTCTGTGAGTTTGACGCCAGCCTGGTCTACAGAGTGAATTCCAGGACAGCTAGAGCTGTTACAAAGAGAAATCCTGTCTCAAAAAACCAAAAAAAAAAAAAAGTGATGTTCCCCCCACCCCTAGTTTAGAAGTATCCATTCTCGAAGTAAATTGATTTTCACAGGAACAACTGCAGTTATTTTGGAAAGGGGGTCTAAAACTAGGTAAAAGTGAATGGGTGATCTTAGTACATGCTGAAAGGGCCTTTGGAAAGGTGAGGAAAATAAGACCCAGAATTCTAATTTTTCATATTTCACATTGTTAAAACATGAGCAAAGAATTCAGACCTTGGGGCTAGGGAGATGGCTCAGTTGGTAAGTTTAATTCTCAGAACCCACATAAAAAACACCAGGCATGGGCTGGAGAGATGGCTCAAGGGTTAAGCTGCTGGATGAGCAAGCATGAGAACCTGAGCTGCATCTTCATGGAAAGCCAGGAGTGGTGACTGCGGTCCTAGTACTATGGAGCTAGAGACAGGTGACGCCTCAGGGCTTGCTAGCTCACTGTCTAGCTGTCTCAGTCAGTGTTCTATTGCTGTGAAGAAACGCCATGACCAAGAAAACTCTTATAAAAGAAAGCATTTATTTGGAGGCTTGTCTACAGTCTCAGACACTTAGTCCATTATCATGGCAGAGAGCACAATGGCAGGCAGGCATGGTGCTGGAGAAGTAGCTGAGAGCTGTATTCCAGTTCACAAGCAGGAAGAGAAGGAGGGGCTGGCCTGGGCTTTTGAAATCTCAAAGCCCACCTTCAGTGACACGCTTGCTCCAGTAAGGCCGTACCTACTCCAACAAGACCACACTTCCTAATCCTTATAATCCTTTCAGATGGCAATACTCCCTGATGACTAAACACTATGTGAGTCTGTGGTGGCCATTCTGACTCAGACTACCACACTGGTTAAAGCAGCAAGCTTCAGTAAGAGACTGTGTCTCAAAAATAGTAAGGTAGGAAGCAATAGAGGAAGAATATCCCTGCATCAGCCTCTGGCTTACACACACTCATATAGGCAAGCACACCTACATATACACGAATGTGAACAAAGCCAGGCATGGTGATAATATGCTTGTAATCTCAGTACTGGGGAGGCAGAGTTGGGGATCCCTGGGGTCCACTGGCCAACCAATAAGTTTCATGGCAGTGAAAAACTGATTTTAGGTTAGATGGGGCCTGGAGAGAAGGCTCAGCAGTTAAGAGCACTGGCTGCTCTTCCAGAGGTCCTGAGTTCAATTCTCAGCAACCACATGAGGTCTGATGCCCTCTTCCAGCATACAGGCATACATGCAGATAGATCACTCATACCAAAAATACATAAATAAATAAAATTTGAAAAGAAAAAAGTTAGATGGTGCTTTAAAAAATGACACCAGGGTCATCCTCTAGCCTACATGGGCATGTACACACATAAAGCATACACACCCATACAAACTTGTACACATACACAAAACACAAGCATACAGCCCAAAATTCTGACTGACTCTAGTGTGGTTACTTCGTTTTGATTCTTACTCCTCTTTGCTCTCAAGCTTACCCCTCAAAGTTCCTAGATGCTTCTAGGTTCACGTTCTTCACTCTGAGCAGCCTTTAGACATATTGGAAAGGTCGGTAATGCTTCAACAGGAGGAAGTACTGCATCTCATCTTGTATTTTCTTGTGACTGTGCTGAAGTCCTGACATGTATTCAAGGACTGTTCCCCAGCTGTATGGCCACCCACACCTGTGGTGGAGAGAAGGGTGCTTGTTACAGTGTCAGCTTTTGCTGCAGTGGTATTTTTAAACTGACAATTTAAAGGCAGCTGGTATAAACCTAACAAGCCTGAGTAATTACTTGTGCTAGGAACTTTAATGCATGGTATATGGATCAGGCTGAGAAGAAACTGATGCCACCAAGATGGTGATGCATGATTGCCTTTTATAGGACTTCTTCATCATTTTGCCTTGAAACTAGGCTTTAGAGATAGGGTTTCACCTTGTATTCTAAGATCATTGAAGGCCATTACTTTTGTAGTTCTGTCTTCCACTTGATGATCACTGTTGGAGCATTGGAAATCCTGTGAGCAGTGGGACTGCTCTTGACTTGAGTCTCAGCTTCTATTTCTCTGATTCCTTCTAAAACCCTATAGGTCCCCTTCCGGTTCAGGAGTACAACTGAACAGCCATAGGTGAGTTCAATACCCTTTCCTCCCCAATTAACAAGTTTAAATTGTATCTTATAAAGTTATTGAGCTGGGTGGTGGTGGAGCACACCTTGAATTCCAGCACTCAGGAAGCAGAGGCAGTTGAATTTCCAAGTTTGAGACTAGCCCGGAGGGCCACACAGAAACCCAGTCTGAAAAAAAGCAAAAAACAAAACAAACAAAAACCCACTGCACTGAAAGACTTTTTTTTACAAGTAAACCAAATGCCATCTATTTATCTAAATGCCATCTGTTTTATCTAAAGAATGATCGCTGAGGTAGAAATAGTGTTCTGGTTTTGTCTGGACTCATTTCTTCATCTCCCAGCCCACGTGTGTTAACCCCCAGTTCTAGGGGTTGACAGAGAAAGAGTGTGTGGAACAGATCAGGCTTGCTGAAGTGTGTGTTTTACCTCTTGTGCTGTGACTTCCAACACTGATGGAATTCATGTCTACATATGTGTGCTTTCCATTCTTTTTCAGGTATAGCAGAGACTATGTGGTAGAAGGGGAGCCTTACGCTGGTTATGACAGACACAATGCAGAGGTGGCAGCCTTTCATTTGGACAGGTATGTGGAATCTCCTGTTTCCTGTTCGTCATCTCTTCCAGAGAGAACTTAATGGACTCCCTCAAGAAGTGAGTGATGCAGCAGTAATGTGGGCTTCTTCCCTGTTTATAGCTGTAGGTTAGTGCCATTGTAGTTCTGCGAATCCCTAATATTTGGGTCCTGCATAAAAAAACAAAACACAACACAATAAATCTTTGTAAAGACGTATGCATTTTTCTTTTCTCTTTTCTTTTTTTGGTTTTTCAAGACGGGGTTTCCCTGTGTAGCTTTGGAGCCTGTCCTGTAACTAGCTCTTGTAGACTAGGCTGGTCTGAAACTCTGCCTCTGCCTCCCAAGTGCTGAGATTAAAGGCGTGCACCATCACTGCTCGGCTGACTTATTTATATATGAGTGTTTTGCCTGCATGTATGTCTGTGAATCACGTGTGTGTCTAGTACCCAGGGAGGCCAGAAGAGGGCATTGGAGTCCCTGAAACTGGAGTTACAGATAGTTGTAGGCTGTTGTGGGGATGCTGGGAACCAAATCTAGTTTTTCCGAAAGAGCAGCAAGTGCTCCTAGCCAGAGCCATCTGTCCAGCCCCAAGAGGGCTAAATATTTTTAACCCCAGACTTTTACTTCCTATTAGTTAACTTCATTCTTGGCATGCTTTGTGTCATCATGGTTGAAGATTCTAATTGGTAAATGAAAATGTCAGAATGAGAACAGAAGTTTGAATTTAAATCTCTGTTTTGAATTGGCCATAAATTGGGCCTCATAGCTCTGTTGTTTTGATTCTGTTGTAAGTAATACTGACTTATTACCATAACTGAAAATACATAGCATGGAATTGAGAATGGATTTTGTTGTTTTTTATACAAAATACACAGCTTCAAAAATCAGAATAGTTTTTTAAAAAGAAACCACAAAATCACCATGAATTCTAATATAAACAATAGCTAGTTTGGTGGCACCTACCTGTAACCTCCATACAAAGGAGACAAAGACACGAGGACTGGGAATTCAAGGCAGGTTTGTGTTACATAGTAAGATTAAAATCAACCTCTACATGGCAAAACTTTGTCTCAGAAATCTGGGGATACAGAAGCCCTCTAGAAAGATTGATACTGTTTTTACAGGCACCTCTTAGCCAAACTCTGGTATCCCAATTCCTCCTTACATGTTCTCTTTCAGTCTGCCATAGTGACTCTAAAAGACATGATTGTGAGCTAGGGCAGGAGGTGGCTCAGGGGTAGAGCACTTGCCTATAGGCAACCCCAGCCATGATGAGACAGTAGGAGAAAGAGAAGCTGTTTAAAAACATGAGGAAATCAGAAAAGAAAAGGCAAGTTTTTGTCTTTTTCTGGATTAGGAAGAATTTCTCATATTTTTACACATACTGTAGTAGAATATGGGTCACAAAAACAGAGGACTGGAGACTGGAGAGATAGCTTAGTGGTTAAGAGTACTTGTTGCTCTTCCTGAGAACCTGGGTTCCATTCCCAGCACCCATACAACCATCTGTAACCCCAGTTTCAGGGAATCCAACAGACATGTAGGTTGTGTACATACATACATGCAGATAAACCATTCATACATGTAAATAAATACTTTATAAAAACTAGAAGCAGAGCTGAGCATGTGGTAAACATCTGTAATTCCTGTACTTAGACAGCTAAGCAGGAGTTGAGGCTAGCCTAGGCTACTGTTTAAAAAAGACTAAACTGGATAAATACCATGAGTAGTTAAGAGAATAACTGCAACTGTTAGTGCTAATAAATATGGGACATGTTTCTTGTCACTAGAAATATTTTAAAATCCCTTTGGAACCATAACTTACTATTTCACCTTCTAAAATGACCAAGTTTTGTTTGTTTGTTTGTTTGTGTGGGGGTTTTTGTTTTGTTTTGTTTGGTTTTTTTTGGTTTTTTGAGACAGGGTTTCTCTGTGTAGCTTTGGAGCCTATTCTGGCACTCCCTCTGTAAACCAGGCTGGCCTTGAACTCACAGAGGCCTGCCTTTGCCTCCCAAGTGCTGGGATTAAAGTGGTGTGCCACCAACCCCCGGCCTTGTTTGTTTGTTTTTAAAGATAATGTTTTATTGTCAGGAATATATTGAATTTATATGCTACTTAAAGCATTATTAATTTTGTTGTCTTTTTGTTGTTTTTTGTTTTTTGAGACAGGGTTTCTCTTGTGTAGCTTTGGAGCCTTTCCTGGCACTCCCTCTGTAGACCAGGCTGGCCTCGAACTCAAAGAGATCCACCTGCCTCTGCCTTCCTAGTGCTGGGATTAAAGGTGTGTCTGGGTAAGACAGTGGAGCTGGTCCTGGTGGTGTGAGTGTGGATGAGCCAGACCCCAAGGCCTAAGAGCAAGAGAACTGGCCCTGCTCCTTGCTGCAGACTGTGTTGAGTGGGTTGGCTAAAGCAGTGCTGGAGAGCTCACCCAGGTGGTGACAATGGAGGAAAGCCAGCAGGCTGACCAGCCCAGCAACCACCCAGACCCAGAACCAGGATAATGAGTCAGCCCATCCCAACATCCATCTCATCTATGAACTGTTAGAGTGTGAGAAAGGGACAGATTTACAGATCCAAAACTGCAGCATCCCCATGACACAGGATGGCAACAGGATATCCAAGAGGCACCCGAGTGAGAGCCCATTATCAATAGTGTAACAGACACCAGAGGCCTTGCACCAGAACAGTGCCTCGTTGCAATGAACACTTGCAAGGAAAGATGAAAGGACTAAAGGGTTAACAATGTAACTCAACTGGCCACACTACAGCTTCCATGATGAGATTCTTCTCCTTTTCTTATTTGTGTTTGGTTGGTTGGTTGGTTGGTTGGTTTGGTTGGTATTTGGTTTTTCTTTTAAATTTTGGTGGAAAGTTTCAAGGGTGGAGGGCAGATGAGGACAGGAAGACAGATGGGATCAGGATGTATGATGTGAAGTCCTCAAAGAATCAACAAAGTAGAAAAAACTAAACAAAACGAGAACAACAAAAAATAAAAACAAAATGAGTATTTTCTAGTGCTTAACTTTCAGGAAGACCTGCAAATGTGCCCTTATTAAACTGTCCTGTGGGCATGTTGTTTTGGTCAGTTTGCAGTTTGTCAGAGTTTTATCAGAGCTTTGAACCCATCTAAGTTTAAGCATGATATTTCTAATGCATTGTTAACAAGTATTTCTAGTTTTGGTTATGGAAAAATTCTAGCAGAAGCAGAGGTACTAGGCTTAACAGTTTCTTATGTTTTGCCTGACTCGCCCACCCTTTTTTTGCTGAACTGTTGAATAATGTACATCTTTACAAACTCATGAACATACGTACCTCTAAAACCTAACATTAACTCACCTACCTACCCACCTCCAAAACCTTTATATCTTTAATGGGATTGACCGTGGTTTTTGATACTTAACTTAAAATACATCCCCAAAGATTTTTCTCTTCTCTCTTCAACCTTCACAACCAGGATTCTGGGTTTCCGCCGAGCTCCCTTGGTGGTTGGCAGATATGTTAATCTGCGGACAGAGATCAAGCCTGTGGCCACGGAGCAGCTGTTGAGCACCTTCCTAACTGTAGGTAAGAGATGAAGGTGTTTAAATAGGAGTGTGGTCAGTAAGGTAATTAATGGGGCATCTTTGAACAAGTTAGTCGTATCTCTTTCATACCTAAAGAACTCAAAGGAATGTAAAAGCCTGCTCTCATGTTAGTGTGGGGATTAGGTCTAATGGGGAGAGTGGGAAATGAGAATCTCTTCCTAATATATTCTTCTAGTGAAACTGGTAACTACTTCTGCTTGATCTTCCAGCTAAGTCTCAAATGCAAGATTTGTCCTAAATTGATCCTGTCTGCATATCATTGTCCTTGTTTTTGTTTTGTTTTCCGAGACAGTGTTTCTCTGTGGTAATAGTCCTGGTTGTCCTGGAACTCACTTTGTAGACCAGGCTAACCGTGAACTCACAGAGATCTTGCCTGCCTCTGTCTCCCATGTACTGGGACTAAAGGCATGTGCCACCATTGCCCGGTGGTTTATTGGTTTTAC